GAGAAATGCTTCTAAAATTTCCAGTCCCTGAAGAAATGAGGTCTTCCCTATGCATGCCTTTGGACCAACTGGTGCTGGACAGAACTGCATCATCAACATCAACCAGATACAGGACCCAACAAATGAGATGGGCTTCAGACCAAACCCCTTCTTAGCAATAATGTATTACTACCATGCTGATGAGTTCATGATCTGTGACAGGCATGACAAAGAATATCCTTTCAGATATGACTAGATGCAGGAGAATCTTCCAGGCATGAAGCTATTTTATCCGTGCTTGCTGTGGGTAATAAAGTGGAATGCCACTGATGGGTGTATAGCAGCAGCTATGGGTGATTGTGATGTTTGTGGAGCCTAAGGAGAAAATTCAGAGGTAGTGTGGCAAGCAGCTCAGAGGCTGGTTAAAHTCCTACAATGTCTGGGAATACAGCATGCTCCTAGAAAGTTACAGCCTCCATCTAGTAATAGTACCACTTAAACAGGAGCTTGAGCTGGGGGGATTACACACCAGCCTGGTAACTAGACTCACTCATCAAACAAAGTGGGACAGAGTCACTCCCATTCTTGATTGCATGGAGAAGGAGATACAATGAGGGAAGACAATGCAATGGACTACAAACAATTAAAAATTGACTGYAGCTTTCTGGTCCATGTGGCAATGACTTATGAGGTGACAAATCCWTATTTAAAAAGGCTGCATCAACAAACAATAGACTTGTGGAGACCTAGTAATAGAGATGAGGAAGGATGAAAACCGAAAGCAAAAGACTGGGCAGATTGGCTCACTGCTATCCAAAACAATAATATGAGAGATCAGCTGATAGATGTTCATTCAAAAGGCCATCCAAATGGGGTAAAGCCAGTGAACAGATATTTCACTGACCTCAAGGCTTTCCTCAAGATCCTTCTTTACACATACTTGACCCACTAAGGTCTCCTTGAGAGCTAAACATGTGTATCAGGTAAATTACAGATTTGGTGATGCCTCAGGGGAAGGCTTTGGTGACAACTGACTCACAGTAGGAGRTATATCATACAATCTTGACAAGATTATGTGTCAATGCAATCCATTAACTTCAGGTAATTTTGCAATGTGCTGGATGGCATCATTGAGTCTGAGGGTTAAGCTGAGCATTAATGGGATGCCTTTGTGTTGTTTGTTACAGACAATTCCACAGTCAAAGGAGCCCTTTACAAAGGGACAATCAGTAGTCCCAAGCTAKTAGTACTTGAAAYGGTCATTGAATTCAACATTCTACAAATGAAGTATGATTACCAGGGCATTATCACTCACATGTCAGATTTTAGAATGATTGAGCAAGGAGGAGGTGGCTTATCATKAGGAGTGTTAAATGAAGGAGTCATAGGAGGAGCATTGTATTGCTCTTTTATCCCCTTTCATTTCTCACCTATCATGTAGGCTTGGCTACGTTTTTCCGGGTGAACCATTTGTACATTTTAATCCTATATTCATACATATATATTGGTATGTTCCACTACTATGACCCCCTGACTCCTCCATATGACTAGAATCTTTTTTACTGGGAATTAATTCATGTGCCTATCATACTTAAGCATCCATTGGGAACAAAGTTATAGTGATTAGCATCAGTTGAACTTCTCTTGATGTTCTACATGTTTTCTGCTGTGCATCAATTTTTGGCCATGACTCATGGGATTAAAAATTTGAGTTGTACTACCAGTACAGCAAGAAYACATGCAAGCRAAACTATTTTGTTGCAAGACTGAAACTTGCAAAACTATTTGGTCACACAACTGGTGGGATTCAAAAATTCAGCATATGCCCTGCTGTACTGCAGTAGTACAATTCTTTACATGGAAAATAAGGGCCCAAAATGTACGGCTGGTGCATACATTTGTTGGTCGCCAACTCTATGATAATACAAACCAATGTTGAGGAAGCTCCTCTTTTTGGTGCTATTTAAGATCATTAYGAGTCTGATTATTAAATGCCCATGCACTGGTTTGAACAAGGATACATTGTGATTGGAGGAGAGATTGGAGCTGATGGAATGTTGAGGCCAATTGTAAAGGCTGGGATTTAAAGTTGACCCTCRCCCTTTGGCTGATTGTGACATGGCTTTAGAGGACCTGAGAAAGGGWTGACTTAAAAGACACATCTCTACACATGTTTTGAWTTCTCCTAGTGTACTTATGACTCTGCTCTGGATGAAGCAAKCATTATTTATTTTTGCCCCTTTTTGCTCCTATTGGAASTCTAATGACATGTGTGAACCTTGTGAAGTTGGATTTTGTTTCCCCTATATTAGGRCCTACTATCCTTGGACAATGCCCAAGATGCTCCAGCTACGTTGGAAACTGTGTTCTTTGTGGAAGGACAACAAAGTGGAGACAGTTGCTCTTCTACATGAATTTCRTGTGGTCAGTAGGAGGCTTCCCAAGATGCCMAGGAAGCTGATGTGGAAGTTTTTTTTCAAGTARGGAAGTAGGCCTCTTCCACCTCTTGGCCCTGGAGCATATCCATCCCCAAGCAAAGACCAACATCAAATGGAARACCAGAGAGCAAGAGAAAACTCCCTTTGATTTTACCAGGCTAGGTGAYAATATACTGATGACCCCATTTCAATGCAAACTCTRTGCCTTTAAGAGGTTCAAAGGGAKAGATCATAATCATCAATATGGATCAGATAAACTCACTTTTGCTTTTGTAAGAAGAGCTAATCTTGATGATTTCTKGAGTAGAGGACCCAGTACAGGAAGTGCCAAGCAATCTACTGTAGGCCAAACAATCTCAGCTCTAACAAAATTTGGTTTACCAGGCCCCTTTCATGATTTGGGGCTATCAGCCTTGCATAATTCCTTTGGCTTTGAAACTGCTATGTCCTGTTAGATGACTCCYACAAAGCTGAGAAATACACAAAAGATCACCCAAAATGGGATTAAATTATTTGAATATTGACCATGGGAAATTTTGAAAGAGTATCTACAGATCCATACTTTCACTGGCTGAGCTGCTGTCAAACAAAAATAAMGAAGGCCTTGTGAGTAGGTTGCACATARGGCGGTATCAGCAACTCCTCCACATCATTGGCTCATCTATCACCAGCAACTTGTATGGTATCAGCAGCTCCTCTGTATCATSAACTCTTATGGTATCAGTGAGTGTCATCCATATCCTCAACAATGAACAAAATCATCATTGTTGCAATAAGAAAGAGAAAATGCTGCTGCTATCTGACATGTGTCTGTACACCAAAGAAGACAGTGCCTGTAGTTCATTGCAGCATGTAATTGCAACATCAACGCAGCTTCCTTTGGAAGTATGCACAAGTACATGGGAATTTTGAGCTGCTTCAAGGGTTACACAAATTACTGTTGYAGAAGTTAGCWTAAGAGCTTGTTCTTGAAGATAATTGCAGTTACAACACTTTGATCTCAAGCTAGTAAATCTCTTGATCTCAGTGATGTTACTGGTGTACCCAAAATGTACCAGAAAATAAACTCTATTGAGGTCCGTGTTATTATCATGGAATCAATTTTCTTGTACTGSTGTGTGTTTAARTACTAGTGGTACTAACTAGTACTTTGTTACTACAAGAAACATTTTAGAGAGAACTACTAGCATAAAAAATAGAAAACGGAGGAACAACAATATTATGGCAACATCATGGGAGGAATGAAATACAAAGTTAACAAATCTTAGCATAACAAGGACAACTACTGCTAGTACTACTAGTACTAGTACTAGTACTAGTACTAGTACGTACTTGCTGTCAGCTGAATATCATATCATACATGTGAATCATACCTATGATAGTATATACATGATTCATATACATTCTACATTCAGAATTCACCACTCAATCCTACTATGGATCTTCACCACCCATGATTGAGTTGACTCATTAAACTCACACTTATCATTTGATTGTGATTCATTTTTCTTCTAGTAGTAGCACTCAATTCTTCACATCCAGCATATTAGATAGTCACACCCACAGGCTATGACACCCTTCCAATAAAAATCACCCTCAACAGCATGGTAGTAATTCTTTAGGTGTGCTCTCTACTTACAGACCAACACAACTCTACCTCATACAACTGCCCAAGCACTTCACCAATATGACACAATACTATGGACCAAATTGACAAAATCTGTTGGCACCACTCCTCATGCACCTGCCCAGAACAATTATATTGCACATCATTGCCATGGTGTTTGCCATACAACACACACATAGTATCATACTAATATCCTCTTCTGTATATACACAAACTGCTACAGAAACACCACACATCATCACTCAAAACACCAATCATAGTAGTTCTATTAGTGGACTAGCACCAGTACTACTACTACTGGCAACAAGGCTCAAACAAAAATCTCAGGAATCTCTCAAAAACAAACAAAAGTCAGGTGTGTCAATTTGGACTGCAGCAAGAAAGATCTTTAGTAGTATTAGTAGCAACTTGCTTGCTAGTAGCTACTACTTTGAAACTTACTGGTGGGACAGGGATAATGTATGGTCATCTTCTGGAATACATTTTTTCACTTGTTCTGTGTTGTATGAGTTTCCTACTTCATGTACATACTAGTAGTAGTAGAATAAGAAGGAACAGGGGGGCCTTCTTCAAAGTCACTCACACATTTATTAGTATTCAAAACTTTGCTTTTGAATTCCATACTTTTGGGGCAAAAATTGTGGGTGTGAGGTAATTCCACAATCATGCAATCAAGATATCTTCAAATTTTTCTCTAGGGWCATAACCGAGGCATACTAACCCCCAGTGGAAATAAGTCAAATACTAGCAGTAGTAACTTTCTGACTATATTGGTTTGTTRGATTTAATCTGTTTCTTACGTGCCAGTCTCATTGTAGGTAAATAGCGATGAAAAATGGGGATTGTTACCCATCAGTATGAATACTAGGGAAAAGCATGTAGAAAATAATCTCGCTTTCTTTTTATTGGTTGCACAAGCTAAGGATATAGGTTTCATRTCTCCTACTCAACCGAAGATAGCCAGCGAAAACCAACGCTGTCGGCCTTGAGAAGAATGTGTGGGTAGCTTTGCTGAATTAAACCATGGAAGATCCTAGTTCGTACGAGTGCACTTGTCGTGCTGGAGCTCCTTGCCATACACTCTGAGCGTCGATTACCTCCCCAGTCATCGCCAATGTTTTCTCTAGCAACATCGACCCAGTCTCCATCCGAACCCCTTGTTGAATACGTGACCTAGTGCGCAATGTCACGTCGTCCTCGATAACTATTCGAACAAGCTCGAAGTTTCCTCTGGTGTTCAAGTGACTGACAATAGAAGCTACATCGACTAAACACCTGTCGCCAAGCGTTACCAAGTCTGGCTCAGGCATTTGAGGATCTGCACCAGCTGGATACAGACAACAATCTTTTCCTATTTTTGACCCCAAGGCTCGGTAGTACATGCTCATGTAAGGTGTACCGGCCAGAAGGTCAGTAACCATRATTCTGTTGATCTTCCTCACTTGTCCAATAACTTGATAAAATTCCCAGTTTTGCCCGTATTTCGACTCATGCCAATTGAATCGMCCCTCGCTTCGCAATCCGACAAAGAACCACTTTGCAGAGATCTCAATCGCGAAACAAAGCATGGTACGAATAGCGTGGGTAAAAATAAAAATACCGAACATCGTTGCGTATAGTTGCAGTCCGTTGTAGAGCTCGTCGTCGTAGTAGCGCCCTGCTAGCTGCCATCCGTACAAGAGTCCACCGGTAATGTGCAGAGCAGCTAACAATGGGAACGAGTGCACCATTGCGAAAATGATATTACAGAGACATCGATACATAATCATCAAATAGGGCGGAAAGACGAAGTAGTTGGCCTCTCCACGAGCTGTAGCTCTGCCGAAGGGACGTATGGTTGTCTCGTCTCCTTCAAAAGATAAATCTTTTTCTTTCATGTCAACCGATAACATGACTTCCTTTGCATYAGCTTCGGTCCCCGGCTCAAGAACCATAGGCTCTCCACCTCGAGAACCAAGGTAAATACTGGCCTCGGGTAGATAGCGTCCTGCAGGGCAAACTGTGTTGGATCCCAATACAGCGTTTTTCCCAATGATAGCTCCGGGAAGTACAATAGTGTTGTCGGAAATATTCGATCCTGCGCAGAATATAACCTTTTCGGATGTATCTAAAGTTGACGTGAGGATAACACTTCTCGAGCCRAAGACGACRTCATCTCCAACTTCCAACAAATCGAACTCGCCAGTAAAGACTGGTTGGTTCCCAGGCCAAAATACTCTCTTTCCAATTTTTGCCCCCAACAACCTATACAAACAGCTCACTGGCTCGAAATGCCTTCCAAGCATGTCGGTCATTTGTTGCATGTTCTCTCGGGAAAAAAGGGTCGCTGACAAAAAGTGACGTGCCAGAGTCCATTGGCTAGTAATATCTCTTGGCCCTGGCTTGAATTTACCAATGACGCACCACTTGGTAAAAATAGCAGCTGCCATATAAAARTATGGCGCAACAGTCGACCGTGCAATTCGGATTAAAATATAATAAGGAATCCGTCTGGGTTCGCACAACCATTCCATCAAGTCGCCCATCGTGCTGAAACCTTCATCGTGAACTTGATAGTGCATTTTCACTAAATAGTACAGGACATACATGGCCGGAAGATGAGAAAAGGTATTGACGAAAAACATCACAGGATGACACACAAAAACCTGCATCCACCAAGCGGGTTCTGGGACGGCATAGCGATTATAATGAACATGTCGATCATCGTTGTGGGTTATCTCGTAACTGGAAGTTCCAGGTCCAACATGCGCGTTAGTAGGTACTTTCGTGTAGGGGGCGACAACAGATCGGACACCGATGCTGGCCCAGTCGTCGACACAGACAGGGCCCATGATCATGGCCCCTCTATCAAGTCCAAAACCGCGAACTGTTGAATATTCAATCTTTGCACCATTTCCAATTGTCACAAGGTCGAATTCGGCGATCTCGGCATCGACTGAAATATGAGCTCCTGCTCCAATTGTCGCACCGAGAATTCGAWAATACAWGCACAGTGTCCAATTACTAGTTCCCCACACACCACGTCCAATGATCTTGCGGCAAACATCTACAAACCACCATCTCAAGTAATACGATCCCCATATCGGATATCGCCCCTCCTTGTACTTGCCAATGACAGCCCATTTGATCAACACAAAAATCAGTGGTGTTACTAAAGTCCAGAAGAAATGGAAGCCCACTAATGTAAGGATAAACTTGTAGATGTTTCGTTCTCCCGGAACACGCTGCAGAATGAGCAATAAACTCATAAAAAATAGGAAGAAACGTGTGAACTGGTAAAGTGGAAAGATAAGAAGCGWGGGTACCAATTGGAATAGCCTGGTAAATATACCAGTTTCGGGTACAAGAAGTTTTGAATCCAGTGGTGCGTTTTGCAAATCCACTGGACATTGTTTGCTTCTAGACTGACCACCGTCATTGTTGTTAGACAAGCTGCTGGATTGCAGAGAGATATTGTCTGAGCACATTATTCCTTTTTGCCTCTGGATRTGCTGTGCCATACCAAGACAGGTATTGTGCCGAAAAATATCTGTTCCTGAAAAATCGCATGAGTATTTTTTGCGAATTTGACTCGCCAATTGGGACGCAAGAAGACTTGAGCCGCCAACATGGAAAAAGCTTGAATCGTATGCTGGTAAACAGTCTAAATCAATCAGCTGTTGYACAAGCTCTTGAATTTCTCGAACCATTGGATCCGTTATGATTCTCTTCGCGACATCTCCTCTCAAGATGCACATGACAGCGTCAGTCGGCTCGGGGTATTTCTTGATATTTTGCAAAGAGATTTCGTCCGAGTAGCTGCATACATGGGAAGGGCGTAGGTAGGCATCAAAGACACGTTCCGATGTTTGAATGACTGCTTTTGGGCAGACGTTACGTACGTGGACAGAGACGGAACCAATCCGTGAAGGGTGCGCCGTGACAATCAGTTGCTTCTGGGCTGACGAAGACTGCTCAAGTTTCACCGCATCAAATTCTTCATCGACTTSAACATCTTCGGGAACTTGCAATTCGCGTCGCAAYGTTCCTTGGATATATTCAAGATCAACCGTGAYATTCTCAGATGGTATGGAAACTCCCACCAGAGTACCCTGGGGCGGACAAGTTGCTTCAAAAGTTCGTTCAACAGGAGCCATACCATCATTCAACTCAGGCAAGTTAAGGCGTTGTCCAAGTTTCACTCGAAGCAGCTTGTTTGTGTGTGATTTTGGTAGTGCGTTCATGTATACCATGCATTGCGGCCATTTTGCTGGAGCTAGTTTCTCTTGGAGGAAGATRTGGAGAGTTGGCAAATCCAGCCTCCTACAGCCTGGTTTGTGTACCAAGACAATACCGACCGCTTCTTGCAAGACATCATGAGGAGCTGAGAAGGCAGCACATGCCAAAATACTCGGATGCTGAACAATTTCTTCCTCTACTTCAAGAGGAGAAATAATTTCTCCACCTCGGTTGATAACTTCTTTTGAACGTCCCGTAATGAACAGGTATCCGTCTTCGTCCAAGTAGCCCAAATCTCCGGTGTTAAACCATCCGCCTTGCCCTAAAGCCCTTGGCACCTTGTGGTTGTGACCACCACCGAGAACTGCACCAACAGCCCCGTATCCACGAAAACARGGTCTCCCTCTGACACAAATATTTCCTTCCTTGTTGGGTGGCATWGATTTCATATTATTATTGAAAATGCAAATTTCTGGGCCAACAGCCACTCCGCTTGTTCCCGGTTTCGTTAATTCGTAGTTGTATGGCGGACTACTAATAGGCATGCATTCCGTCATACCATAAGAAGGCAAGACGTTGGCTCCAAAAGTATTCCGAAGTTCGTTTGCCAAGCTAGGCAGAAGTCCCCCTGCGGCATTTGCAATCATGCGCAGGTGACGCTCTGCTCCATCTGCTGTTTTCGTGAAGGGTGGCGGAGTKGTTTCGTCGTCATCGTCATTTCTGGGCAGATTTGCCAGAATCACTTGGTGCATAGTTGGCGCTGCATAATACCACGTAAATGATGCCGGCAATGTGCTTGTGTGATTGTTTTCACCGAGAACAGTCACAACCCCGTCGGATGAACGAGGCTGCGACGGATGTTGCGACAAAAGCAATTGCCAAAACAGATGCGCATCAAAGGACGGACAACAAATGACACTGCCCGCGCTCAAGATGGGGGCAAAGACCTGGCGAACAATCCCTCCAACGTGAAAGAGAGGCATGAGATTGCAGTTGATATCTTCGTGACTCAAATTCCAAGATACTGCAATGACAGCAGCAGCAATGATCATGTCACCTAATTTATGAGGGACGAGTTTTTTGTTACCCGTGGTTCCCGATGTGAACAACACTAGGACCTCGTCTTCGTGATCATTGGACAAAAAGTTGTAGGTCGCGAGTCGTTCCAAATGATGGTTGTAATTCACTTGCAAACGTGGAGGCTTTGAGGACATCGTTGTCCCGCAGCAACTGGCGTCCTCGGTRTCCGAATCAGCTCTTTGGATCAGCATAATGTTTTCTTCGTACGCAGCATTAGCTTGGTTGGCCACGTCTAGTGGAACCTTGCTGGGCAAGGACATGGGAATAATCCTGAAAATCCCTACTTCTTCGTTGCTTGGAACCATCCCGTAGAAAGGGATATTCAATGCCCTGGCCATGTCTTGGAGGGCCCTGAGGTCGTCCGATGGGGATTCTCCTGCCATCCCCGCCATTCCAATAATCATCTTGGCCCGGGAGGCCTGCAAGTCTTTCTTTAGTTCCGATATTGCCCCATTGGCATTGAGAGGAACACAGGATGCCCAATGTGCGCAAGCCAAAATCGATAGGGCCAATTCCGGCCCATTGGGTAAGACAAGTGCAATACGCTGGCCTCGACCAATGCCGTATTCATGAAGGGTAGGCCCAAATTCGTTCAAAATGAAGTCTCTTATCCGTGTGTGAGTGATGGGGCGTCTTTTTCCGTCKACACCGTACAAGGCGTTGCGATCGCCAAAGCTCTCRACTGGAAAYGCAGAACAGAGGTCGTCGAAATGGGGCAGGACTGCCGCAGCCACGTCGCTTCCCTTGATGCTTCCATTGGGTTGTAGCAAGTGTTTACAAGCCGATACCAACGGAGCTGCCAAGCTACGTGAGTTACCTCCACGCGGCGTCTTGTKGTATTGCTGYTGTGGTGTAGTCGCTGTATTCGACGTACCCAAACTAGAGCTAYCTGGAATGGTTAGGGCAGCAGGACTGCCAGGATTGTTTCTACTCGCCATAGCTTTGTTGCTCTTCAGGCGCTAGGCACTCTTATGTCGACTATTCGGAGGATCCTTTTAGTCCTTTGCCACAGAATGTGTGGYAGATTTGCAACTCCAAACGTATCACTGGTGGAAAGATGATTCAAGATGGTTACCTGGAGAAGGATTCTCCAGATGTATGACCTAGTCGGTTTGTTTTGGGAATGTCGATGGACTTATTTGGTATTCCTGATTCCTGATTTTCCCATCGGTATACGGACTTTGTAGGGAATACGGGTACTGTAGGCACGTGAATCCGCTTCATTCCTGTGTGGTCACATGAGTTGCGGCAATGAAAGAAAAGTCGAGAGCGGCCGCCTTGCTGGAAGAGCGTGCTGGCGACACTCGTTGACAAAATCAATGCCCAATATGATTAGCAATGCCCGTGTCACAAAACCAATGGAACGGTGCTCAATCGTTAATATTCGTGCACAATTACTTAGAAATCGCTTATATAACGGCTAGTTTTGATTTTGAGAGCGGTCACGTCTGTTTTCCTCCGACACCTCTCTGCCTTGCGCTCAAGTTTATGGTAATTGTGACCGTACGTCTGGCACTTCTTATTGTAATAGTACCCGTACGCACATTCCGTAGCAAAGGASAAGGCAACGTGTGCTTTTTCTTCGTCCTTCTTTCAACCACAAGGTAACGTACGTAGGTACGTACGCGTTAGAAGATACCTTTCAGTCCGTACTCCGTACGCTCTGTTGACGAACAGGCGCTAACGAAATGCGGATTCGGTGTAAGTCAGTGAACCACCAACTGCACCGGTACAGCCTATGTGCAACAGGTTGTGCAAATCAGCTAAGTACTGGAAACCATCTGAGGCACATACAATTGTCCAGCATTAATCAAGAATGAGTTAGATATCAACAACCAGTACAAGGACATAACATACCAAGATTACCTCCACCTACCAAACGGTGACAAAAAAAGAAGCGAGTGCTGGAGTACCCCACTTTCCAACAGTCTACTAGTACTGTTGTTGCTGCCATAATCACCATCACCAACAAGGAAGCATCAATGAGGAAAACAGCACACTCAAGGAAACACTTGAAAACCAATCTAACCTCAAGGTAATTCGCTACCCCACAACAACCACCAAGGAACTTGACATGTTAAATCACTTCAAAGGAACAAGAAAAGGAGGTCAAAGGAAACCAAAGGCAAGAATGGCGGTGGGGGGGGGGGCATCCAGAGCAAAAAAGAATGTACAGTTTAGTAAAAGCAATACTGAAGACAACCAGCTGCAGTAAGGAAACAAGGAAGCCAATGCGTTTTTTATGTCTACCTATTCACATAACGGTCAAAATCTACTGTGAGATACATAATCTTTTTCTGGCACAGTCTTTTTTTTCTTGCAAAGGCTTTAATTAAAAAAAAATCAATTATGTTGCCAATAATGAAATTTTATTATCTTGTTAATAAAATTTTATTTAAAATTCATTAGCTGGAGAGGTACTGAAGGAGCCTATATTTACTGTTTCCACACACTGTGTGTTTTTAACATCTATCTGTTCAAATAACGGTCAAAATCTACTGTAAAGTACATATTCTATTTTTGGGCATAGTGTTTTTCTATTTCTCATTAAGGCACTATTTGTTGTCCGTAGGATATCAGACCGTGGGTATGATTCATACATACGACACGTACATACGATACGTATCTACGATTCATACACACCATACATATATGACTCACGCGATCCCCTAGGATTCATATCATCGACGTGACTCATTTCATTCACTTGCGTGAGTGACTTGACTCACTCGATTCGCATCTCACTCGATCCCCACAGCGATCCATTCTAGATTTCATAGTTCGTCGATCCTCGATAAGAGCATCGACTCACTTTTCTACTAGCACACATTTTATATCACTATTAGGACAGTCTCTCCCACAGGTTATGACACCCTTCCAATAAAATTACTCACCACCATGGTGATAATTTTTTAGGCGTGCTCTCTCCTTAATACGAACTCTACCGACGTAATGTCGACACACACCTTTGAACAACGCTTCGACGGCGCATGCGCTCATCGCCGCCATCGTCTTCGACAACGCTTTCGCATTTGTCAATACCATTGTCTTCAACAACGCTTTCGCATTGTCATTACCATCGTCTTCGACAACGCTTTTGCATTGTCACTACCATCGTCTTCGACAACGCTTTCGCATTGTCACTAACACCGTCATCGACAACGCACACGCCTTGTCAACGCCATTGTTCTCGAAATCACCACTTTCGAAACGATCGCCATTGTCGCCGCTCACGACGTTTTCTCGCACCTTAAAATTTCCGAAATCTTTTCACTAATTTTCTGTACGATTAACAAAACTTTTTCGGCGACGACAAACCCGTTTCTATTTTTTATTCCCACAACGATATAAAATAAATCCCACCCGTGCACCCGCGCGTACCACTCATAAATCCTTCACTCCCACAACGCGACCATTCCGCGTTACGCGCGACCACTCCACGTCCCGCGTCCATCCCACGTTACCGTAAAACCTCAATCCTGAACAAAATTCAAGCTTCTCACAAACACCGCACTTTTACGATAACATTGCACTTCGACTCGCTTCGCAAAATTCATCATAAAATATATCTCCTTCGATTCGAATCAGAAATATATTTTATACTTCCATCGTCACATCGATCAACAAATATCAACATGACTATTACCCGAAGCAGCAAAACCTCGAAGCGCCCCTTCCACCCCGACATTGACTCCATTCATGCCATTTTCCTTAAACACAACAGTTATCCTGAACTGACTGAAGCAATGAACACGGCATATGGATTCACCAGCGACTTCGTCGACTACCTCAACAAGACTCAAGATGCCTTTGCCGATGTCGGCCAGTTTGTCCCAACGGTGCTTAAACATATCATCGAACACATCGAATACAACGCATACAACACGACTGACAAATCTCGTATCAAGATGTTGATCACCGAAAAGACGCAACTCCTTGTTGAAATCGCAAAAGGCAAACTCGCGCACGTTCAAGGAAGCAACCTCGACCGCGCTTTAAACTATGCACCGAAAACCGCTCAACCAAACGTACTCGTCTTTTACATCAATTGGTCGCCCTTCTACATCGACGATCGGATGCCAACCAAAAACGTATTCAATTTCGCACTCTTCGGCGAAATTCCCTTCCCACCTACCGATCCGAACGTTGTTCCCCCACCTCCTCCACCTCCAACTGGAGCGACGCCTACCGACCCTAACCTTCTTGCCCTTGTCAAACAGAGCAATGACATCCTGAGTAAAACAGCTGACGCAATCAAACATCTTGCCCCTAGAAAAGTGGCGAAGACGCCCGTAAACGGTATCAACCCATTCATCCCCATGAACTTCTCTAGCGGTATTAAAACGCGATACGACTTCAACAAAGTCCCATACATGTTCCATACCAGCGACACCTTGTCCCGACTCCTCGACATCGCAAGCGCTCCCCATAACCTGCGAAACTACGCTCGCGATAAACAAAACTCGGCATCCGGTTTTCTCACAAGAGATGGTTCATACTTCGTACTCGCAGACCTCGGACATATGCACTTCATTCCCTCCGAAATCGATTCTCCTCCGACCTCACTGGCAATACCAAGTTCGTAAAACCGGTGAACGACGCTCTCGTAATTGCTGCGATGGCTCAAAACGATCCGCACCATTGCTCCATGCAATCGCATCAACTTATTCCTCATGCGTCGAACAACCAGTGCAACGTTTATTCTTTGCTCTAAC